GTATGACCTATACAAGATTGAAGCTGAGCTCGCTTTATGGCTTGTTCGCGACAAAGCCTTGTTGGAACCTGTCGAAAGCAATGGCTTACCTCTAGAGAAAGTGGCTTATCATATGGAATTGTTTGAAGCGTGCCAGGTTAGGCTCGAGGAAATCAGAAAGAAAATCCCGCAAGAACCTATTCCGCATGAAAAAGTTGCTTTAATTACCGGAACGTCTTCTGTCGGGACATTTGGAAATTTCAGCATGTTGCAGACGTCTATCGAAAATCCCTCCGAGTTGTTGTCCGCGCTTGAAATTCTTTTATGCTTTGTCAAGAGAATGTCCACCGGTGACGGTGATGTCCTTCTAAATGATTATGTCAAGCAATGGATGAAGATAGAAACGCTTGAGAAACATGCGGAAATGAAAAAGATATTGAATGCAGGTTTAGAATTAAAACACATCGTTTCGCTATACGAGTTGGTGGAAGACAGAGTAGACGATATACTTATTGACTGTGTTGATCCGAAATACAAACGCGACATGCCGGTTGATATACACGATGAACTGATGAACGCTTGCGAATTTGAAGACACTGACGGTAGACTTGGGAAAATTCCTGCTGCAGCTTTTGCAAAAGCCTTGAAGCGTTTTGCGTTGAGGATGTTGTCTGTAAAACGGGTTGACGAGAATTGGAAACTCAATTTATATTTGAGTCAGATGGACTTCTGGTCGGACGTATCTGAAGAGATTGTTGGAAATTACTTTCCAGAAAACTTGCTTGTCGCTCATAGTCATTCGGCTTATTGTGCGATCAAAACGAAGATGGATGTGAGTATCATTTTAGGTGATTTTCATATATCTATTCGCGTACTAACGACTAATTCGATCATATCATGTAGAAAATACGTTCTAAGCAGCAATCTATGGCCAGCTCAAACAACTGTCCTCTTATGAAATCACATACCAGTATTAAAGTGAAGAAAGCGCAGAGACAGAAGTTCAATCATGCATAGAATGTTTTCGTTTTTATTTTTTCTTTCGTAGTATTTACATTTATACGCGATTATGTAATGATTCGTGATTATTTGCACATTAAACATGCGTCCTTTCTGAAAATATTGCTGATTATTGCTAAACATGGCAATGAGATATAAATAACCAAGGCTAACGCGCTAAGACAAAAATCCATGGATGCAGAATACAGTGACGTTTTATCGATATCGGCAATATCAAACACGTACCATTACGGTGCGAAGATGGGGACTGCGCTTAACTAAGCTTGCAAAGCTCCGAGAAAGCAAGTTTTTTAGCATTACTATCAACGCACATAACGTAAGCGCCTGACTAGACAATCAAATTTCCGACTAAATCCACGATCAAAAATTCTCATGTTTTCCAATTGTACAATTTGTTAAGGAAAAAACGACGGTTAATGAAATGTGCGGATATAATTAATAATGTACTGCTTATTCATTTCCTATCCAGTAAACAGATTTTTATGAGTGTTTACGTGTTTATACTTTCGTAAAAGATGATGAAGCTAGAACATTATCGGCACTTATTCGGACAATGTATTACATGATGTAACAAATAATACACTTCGCACTGTTGAGCATAATCTCGAGAAATCGATACAGCAAACTAACGGACGTAAAATCAAATATCGCGCAATTGGTGCGTAAAGCATTCTTCGAATGGAGAATAACATGATTGATGGTGCTTTATAGGAAACTATTGCAGACCCGTCTTGTAGATGCAATAGAACAATAATCTAAAATACGGGTCATGTGCTACCAAAATTATTACTTAAACACCCAGCAGTCTCAACATTAATCTAATTGAAAATGAATGACAAGTCATAAAGAACAACGTTGAGAGGCTCAAACTACTGACAAGCTAATGGAATTTATAGTCGAACGGTCAATAATTAAGTTTAATGGCGGTAGAATCTTGTAAGCCTTTAATTTAAATCCTTAGCACTATATATTATTATAATATGGATATTACAGGGTGATTGATATAAATTATCAGCATCGCACGTGAAATAAGCAATGTCGATCATCCGATTTTCAGGGACGTAAATTACGTTAAGTGACTTTATATATACACATGGTTTCATGACTATATTAAACTAGTGAGTAGCACGGGAAAAGGGGGGAGCTGTAAGCAAAACGATTGACTTACTATTATTGCTCTACTTTTGCCGCTGGTCACAGCGTTGTATTCATGATATGTCGCTTGTAAGAATCGTACGTTGGAGAGTTTTTTGGGAGGAATTGTCATTGTTACTGTGATTGGGTTGATAGAGAGAGAGAGCATTATCAGGTAAATGGGATTCGGTCTTAGTTTGTAGAAGCGTTACATTTACAGTATATTTAGTAGTGTAATATAGAGAGTTTTGTTCTCATATACCAGTTCCCGTAAATTGAACAAAATTACCGACATTAAAATCTTGTTGATAGCTTCCATAAAAAGTATTTGTACGTAATGTTTTGAAACACTCGGGCTCATACTGGTACGAGCCACCCTTTGAATGACTTTGTTGTTGACGATTTCTTTGAATTAATTATAACAGAGACCGTGGCCGCGTTCGGCATTTTTCGTTGACTGCACATAGAATCTTTCTCGTGGGTTACAATTTATATCATATTCTCATTAATATTAATAACACCTTTCGATAAGCAACACATAACACAAACTTCCGTCTGTGCATTATAATTATAGTATACAAGTCTGTTATGAAATGACAAGAGCTGTATTGAACCAACAAATAAAATTTCAATCAAAGTAATTTTTTTTTTGGCTTAATTCAGTATAGTCTTATTTTAAAGTCATATTAATATCGTAATAGGTTTGAAATAAGGTGTATTCTTTATTTGGTAAACAAGAAATAACGGTAAGTTGTGACCTCGCATAACATGGAGAGTTTTTGAGTTGATAGAAAGAGAACGTTATTGGGTAAATGGAATTTAGAGGTCTTACTCCGTATAGATTAGTAATATAATAGAGATCGTCATTCAGTTTTCTCGTATGGCGGAGTTGAAGCAAACTAAGGTAACCCATCGTCTTTACCATAATTGGTAATATAAAATTTCAATTACCAAAATATTCCGATTATGGAACAGCCACATTGGTTGATTGTCATTGTTAATAATTACACAACTATAAGAAATATTTTGATACGGTCGATCATGAGCCATAAAGCATCTGAAGATTACGAACGACTGTTAACACGTTACATATTTAGAAGTTAACTTTAATTTGCGGCAAGATGCAAAGCATATCTGCAATAAGACAAAAATGACATTAACCATGTAATATACAGTATTTTATTATGTTTATGGATAACATCGAAGTAACGATGAACAAATTATGACATGACATGGCATGGCTAAAGATAGCAACAGATATTAAGGACATACACGTTGTTGTTTTGAGCGCTTCCAATAATATAATACGCAAAACGAATATTAATACAAAAGTATCTGAACAACAGTACACAAATTTTTTTATAAAAGAGAATACCGCATAGGGACAAAAAGATGTGAGCCAGTGCAGTTATAAAAATGGCCGGACTTTGCAATCAAAAAATTGAGAAATAAACAGAGTTTAGTTTTTACAGAAAAAGAATACGTCAGACAAAAGTTGCACACGACTGTCCGACTAAAAGTGTAAGATGCTAAATTGTTCTTATGATAAATTATTAACAAAGACATTGAGTCATGGCATAATGTTTTATCATCTTAACAAAGACTACAAACCAAAATTTACAGTTTTGGCACCAAGGAAACGTCGGGCAATTATAATAATCTACTCAATAAAAATATTTCTATTGAAGAGTGCAAACTTGATGTTAATTCAGACATTGACTCAGAGATTCTTAGTACACAACAAGCGATATAAATTTCACAGAAATTATGGCATGTGTTTGATATGTTTTATTAAGATAATGTGCTAAATTAAAATAGAGCTTTCTTAAGCTAACATGTATAGGGCTTAGCTCATCGGTTATATCAGTTTAATTTTTTGCAAAAATTTATTATATTTGTAGTTATGGTCTAATAAAGTTTCTTTTCAATAAACGATTAATTTATACTCGAGTAATTTTTATTTTCCTGACAAACGGTTTATACAATTGGAAATTGCCAATCAATATATATTAATTAAAAGTATTGCTCCGCAAATCTTCCCGATTAGTAATTAGTTTACTATTAAGAAAAAACACGCGTTTTTACATAGATACATATGTGACTCAACACTAGAGGTTTCCGAATTAATATTAACTCGAGAGCGAATAATCGTCTACTAGGATTATTGTATGGTGACCGACACAAGCCGTGAGTTAATAATACCTAGTTTACGGGTCACGGACTGTCACTGCATTGACGTTTAAAATTAGCTAAATTCAAAAGTGTTGCTTCGACGTTTGTAATAACAATAGAATTAAATAAACATAGGTACCGGATAATAAAAATACTGTACTGTGTGCGTAATTTTTAATTTACTAGCAACAAGGGTTTATGTCACAAATTTTCAAACTTGTGAATTTACTATTATTATGTTGGATATTCGGACAGAAGCCACAAGTTAAAAGTTAGACCTCTTCGAATATTGATTTTATGTGCTCTAAAATATGCGGTATCCTAAACTTCTGTACTGTACCGTTCGAAATTCTGTACTGTACTATTTCAATTATCAATACGTACTAACTTTTGGTACAGTACAGACCGTAATATAACTGTACTGTACCTTTTCAAGGCCTGTACTACGTACTAGTTTTGAATTACAGTACAGCCCCTTTACTATTAAGCCAAAC